CCCTCCTCCCCCTCTCCCATGTCCCCCCGGAACTGTCAGTCCCGTTGTTTTCTCCTCCAGATTGTTCATCCAGCCTGTCTTATCCAGACAGGCCTGCGGAGACAACATGCATAAAAACAAGACAGAGAAAAACCAAGTGATTTCTTGAGGAAGGAACCCCAGCCTACCAGTCTCAATAGTGTGGTTAATGTCTTCTAACCCTTGGCGGCAGGCCACTTCCCAACTCATCGTGACCCTGGAAGTCGGAGGAGTAGAACTGCCCCAGAATGCTTCCAAGGCCGTCATCTTTATGGGAGCAGACGGCCGCTACATCATTCACCTGCAGAGAGGCTGTGGATTCAAACCTTTTGCTTAGCAGCCAGGCGCATGACCGCTGTACCACCGGGCCCAACAAAACCAGCTCACTTCTCTAGCATAGATTTCTACTCCAAGCCACCCCTTGGGAGATAGCGTCAAACTGCCCAAAGGATCTCCATGACCAGAAATCTTCCCCGGAGCAGCCAGCCACTTCTTTCTCCCAGAGCTGCTCCCGAGGTGCAGCCACCAACGCTTTGGATAGCGGCCAAGGGCTTCATCACAGGCCACCAGGGCTCCTTGACATGTTAACAGGGAGAGCTAGTGACTAGAGGTCCTTTGTATTGCGCACAATGGCGGCTCCCCCACATAGCCTTGGGTCTTTCAGGCCTCTGTGGCTCCCAGAGGTAGGGCCTGCCGCTTCGGCCTCCTTCAGAAATGCCTATGCCTCCCTCAGCTTATGAGCTCCGAGTTTCTTTTTCTCTCGGTTTCTGTCCTTTTATCAACAGGGAAACAAGACAAAGGAAGAAGGAAGAAAAAGAGGAATCGCCTCATTTCCCAGGGAAGGAAAACAGTACTTGGCACACATCCACTCCGTGCCTGTCCATGAAATGTCCGCTTTGGGGGTGTTACCCACAAAGACCACGGGGGTCAGCAAGAGAGCTGACAGAGAAGGGCAGGAACTACTGTAAAATGGAGTGGGAAAACAATGCGGGCAGGGATTAATATAAGAGTGATTGGGTGGATTTTGCCTTGGGGCAAGAAGTGACCAATTAGGGAGGATGGCATTTCAGACAGAGATTCCCGCACAGGCTCTCAAGGCGCAGGGATCAGTGGGGGAGGTAGCACTTGTGCTCAGACTAGAGTTGGTTTGAGTTTTAAAAATAGGCTTGGTTATTTTGGTGTAAGGAGATTGCATCAGGTTACTTGGAATGGAGTCACAGGAACTTCCAGCCTGAAGAGGTTAAACAGGAAACCAAATTTGTTATCTTACAAAACAAGTGGGAG